CCGACGATTCTCCAATCCAAATCGGCGGAGGCGGCTGTTTATTGTTTTATATCTCATTAATTATCAATAAAATAAGGAATGAAAATAAATCTTACCAAAGGCGCAGCTCAGAGTGGCAACTAAAAACACGAACTTGATCATGATATTTGTTGATTGATCCACAACAGGCTACAGCTTTATATACCAAAAATTTAGTGAAATTGAAAAATAGTAAAGATTAGATACTATTGAGAACACAGCGTGCAAATCTATTAATATAATATGTTTCAAGTGTAACAAGAATTCAATATGTACATATTGTACTGAAACAAAATAAATGGTTTATTGCAAAATATATGTTTAATCATAGTTGTGATAAATAGATTTTGTATTTATTTCTATAATGTTTACACATTTTCATTGTTAACGCGCTACACCACTTAGCTTTGATATATACAATAATTTTAATTTGATGATTTTCAATCTTAGCAATAGGGTAGGCTATTTTTTTTCGTAGTCCCCAAAAATTCTCGTACGCCCTAGGGACAGTGCCTAAATGGCCATACTTTATTTATATTCCACAATGTCCTGTAACTTGTATAGCTGTCTCTTGGGGGTTAAATCGTTTACTCGTCATATTAAAATTGTTGAATTTTTTTTTTTTGAATAAACTCTAAAATTATAATATAAAGAACTATTATCTTAATACTTTGACTTAATAGAAACACTATTGCAAAGTATTCATAAAGAGTGGAGCTTACAAGAATGAATGATATAAAAATAAATAACTTTTACAAACACATATTTAATTAGTTTTTATTATTTTATATAAAAATGTAAGTAATAAAGTTGTATTGGTATTATGCCTAGACAAATCCAGGCTGTTTTTATTGTATTTTCCATGACTGTACGCAAGGTTTCAGGTAGTAAATGTCGAATTTTGCCTCGAAATTTTTTCTTGCTTTCTTGAATTTTCGAGGTTTATTTTTGCTTCTAAGTAGCCTCACAAAAAAAAAGTCTGGTTCCGTCAAATCAAGTGAACGCGAAGGCCAAATTCATAAATTTTTAAAATTATTTGTTCACCGAAAATTTGTCGCAGGAGGTTCATCGTCGCTTTGGCTCGTTATAATGTGTAAAACAATAAAAAAGATTAAAAATTAACAATTTATGACTTTTTCACTTCAGCCATCCTAGATATTTTCTATTTTTTCATAAATAAGGAATTACGTACTTTTAATTTAAAAATGTCAATTATAATTAATTATACAAATATATTTGAAGAATTGTATGTTTAAGTGAAAATACAAGAAATAAAGATTTACTAATATTATTATCTTTTAATGTAGTTTAATACATATGGTGAACATTTACTAAATTTGGTAAACATTATATTATTTTGATTTTAACGAGCTATTATTGATAAATTATTACCCCGTATTAATAAGAATTAGCTTTGTAAGTAGAATAAGTATTTAGAATTAGTCTTAGTTAATCTATCGAAGTAACTACATTCATTTGGAAAGGGACCCCAAGAGTACCAATTATAATAAACTTGTTTGTAGTTGGGAATTAAATAATTCAATTGGTTTATTGAATTATTTAATTCCACTGTGTCCAGAATTCCATCCCTGGGACACGACAAAATTTTGCTCAAAATAATCACAAATAACATAACTATGATAATATTTGGACACAATATATTTTTGTATTGCAGGTACACAATCTGAGACTTCTCTTCTCCTCGTCACTCGTTATTCGAAATGTCGCTCGTTAAGCGAGTCATTTTTTTTAGAATTAATTTTGCTCGTTAAGCAAAATGCTCGTAAAGCGAGGTTTCACTGTATATAATATATGTCTCATTGAAGTGTTCAAGTGAATCATTTAAAAAATGGCATTAGATGTTTTGTGAATTTATTATTTTTCCCATGAAAATTTTAATTTATTTGAAACAAAATTTCGAGAAATATAATTGCAAGCAAAAGTCCTTGAAACAATTTTTGACATTTATTTACAAAGGCTTTTGTTCAACAACATCCTGTCATAAAATGTAGAAACAGAGCCTAAAAAATTGAAAATCATTAGATAAAAACATTAAGTGACAAAGAAAATAAATATATTATACTCGAAGAAGTTCAAATAGAGCTGAAATTGTTGTTTCGAAAAATTGTTGATATTACTACACCAGAGACGGTGGTTTTGAAGTAGATTTATTATAATCGCAACCATAAAGAACTTTACACAATTGCACTAATAGTTTTATTGACCTGTTCAGAGGTCGTCCCATCGAATAGGAATCGTTAAAATTATCATATAATAAATCTTCAACATACAATGATTAAATCATTTTTTGAATTATTCAAATAAATTTTCATCTTTGCTAGATTCTATAATATTTCTATAAATTCTTAAAAATAAAGTAAATCTTAGACAGTTTGATAACCCTTTGGAAAGATTTTTGTAGGCGACTGAAAAAGACATTCAAATATTTAATAAATTATAGCACAGTATTTTGCAAAATAATCCAAAGCAACAATCTAAACTAATATAAAATTTAATAGACTAAGTTTTCTTTAGTTATTCCAGTGCTTTTCTGTAATAGACCATACCGCAAAAATAACTTAAAAAAAATATGTTTGGTCCCTATAGAGTGTGTGAAATGCATGCTTGTTTTGTTGTTGTATTTAAAATAGAATAAATTAAATTTATATGAAGAATTAAATATATACTTTTTTATATAACAGATGTAAGTTCCGGCATCTTTTTTTTACCGAAAAAGTACTGTATATATATGATATAAAATGGACAAATATAAATCTATATCTTTTAGAAATCAATACTTTTAAAAGTTATTTATGTATATTTCCTAATTGATTTTATCCATTTTTTGTACAAAATTGAAACGCTACTGCATTTTTTTAAGGAAAAAAAACTCCTTCAAAAATGTCGACGCACAGTTTGGGAACTCCTGGATTAGTCTAAAAATCATTTTGATTCGAAATTATTTTACTAAACTCCACTTTGTTTGTTTGTAAAAATGTATGTTTGTAATAAATTTCAAAAATGAGGAACTTAGAAAATATATAAATATTGCAGTTTGAATATTTTATTTATTGCTATAAATTCATTTAGTTAGAGATATTTTGGTTGATCCAGTCCAAGAAAGAGTAGACCCTGGTGAAGACATCTGGGTAGCCGACAGCGCATGGACGTCCCCAAGAGACGATACCAATTTGCTTGCCACCAGAGACCAATGGACCACCGGAGTCACCGTGACAGGCGCCCTCACCCCTCTTGGTGAATGTGCACACCTGAGAGTCGTACACCGGGTTTGGACGTTGACGATCTTTGCAGTCGTCAACGGAAACAGTCTTCAAGTGAATGAATTGCAAGTCGTTGGGGGCGCTTCCTGGGTACGAAGTTCTGCCCCAGCCGCTCAACACGCAATCTTCGCCACCACCGATGCTATTATCAGCCAAGTTGATGGGTTGAACCTTCTCGTTGAATTTGATTGGAC